AAATTAGTGTTAAATTATAAGAAATACATCTTTAAGAAATATAGAACTTTAAGAAATAACAAAAATATATTAAGTATATGTACATAATACTGCATACAATAAATGTAAAAAATCATAATATCAAAATGAAGTATTACCTGCATAAACATGGAGACAAAGAATCACTTCAGTTTTTCAAACCATATCTAAACAGAAAATTATTGAATAATTTTATCAGTATTTTGCTGCAAAACTTTTATTAGTACTTTACTGAGTTAACTTGTATCGATTTTCATTTATACAAATATTAGAAGGAAAAAAAAAAGTCTGTTGTAAAAAAATATTCATTAAGATCATTGTCATATTGCTTATTATTACCTTAAACAGGAAAACTTTCTCTTGCATTGTCAATATAACTCTCATATACATTGTCATCATAACAAACACTTTAGGAATATTATTGGTAGACATAATACTTTTTAGACCACAATTCAACATAAACTTCTTTTATATCTCTATTATTGGAATAAAACTTAGTATTAGCTGCAACATTATCTATAATTTTAGTAGCCTAATATTATTACTCGATACTAATACAAAAAAAAAAAGCAACTTTAATTATCTAATCACTCGACGGAAAATAATTTGAAGTTCTTTACGGATAATTTTAACTCAAATCAACAGATTTTTAAGTCAGTTCAAATATTGCATTGAATATTGTAAATGATATTAATATTATAAATGATATTAAGAAATAATAATAAAGTATAAGAATTTTGACCTAGAATAATATATCTTTAAAAATAAAATAAAAGATTAGAGCATAAAATGTATTCGTGATGCAAGTTATGATAGCTTTACAGAAGAGTTATAGCACAATTTTGTAGATTCTCCTGCAATCAATGCTGCTCCATGAGGGGGCATAGCAGCTGCACAATTTTAACCCAGATTTTCTTGTAATGTTTGGTAGCCTTAATATCTTGATAAATTATACTCTTTAAAATAATGTAGATAAATTTCTTTACAAGTTAACACCAAAACGCAAACACCTCAAATATATTTTTGTGTTGTATTCTGCACACAGAAAATTATTTTGCATATGATTCAATTTATGTAGAAACCCTGTGATTGTTTAAACTTGATTTAAAAGTCTAAGAAAAAGAATTTATAAAAACAACAATTAGTGTGATTTCTTTTCACAACCATCTTGTCAAGTGATGCAATCTTTTTTGATTCTTTTATTACCACTTCTTTTCTTGATTCAATCATTCTATATTCTGAGGACCCCTTTTTCCAATGTGTAATTCAATCTCTTTATGCTTTAAAACAGTAACTTGACAACTTTTTTGCATAACTATCATAATTTACAGCTTACTAAAAACAAAACTTTTTACAAATTTAGCCAAATCATTTCATTATTTCGTATAAAAATGTTTTAAAACGGTGCTTTAAAAATGTAATTAATAACGACAAACAGATAACATAATAGTTATTAATTTTTTTAAGTAAACTCTTATTTTAAAGAAAAAATCAAATACTTTGTATTTATATTTCATATTTATACATTTATACATGCTTGTATCATGTTTTTACGATTTAGTGTTATATTTATAAACTAAATGCTCATTTAAATACTCATTATTATTTTAAATTTAGAGCAATTAAGTTCTATATAAATACACAATGTATTTTGTACTACTAATAAATAAAACTTCTTGTAATAATTATTAAAATTACTTTAAAATACCTAAAAATTGCTCAAAATATGTATAAAAGTTATTATAAAACTATAAAAATTATTACATATAAATATATAAAAATGTTACTGAAAAAATAGTTTAACATAAATTAGACAAACAAACCTAATATGTTTGTTTGCTTATTGAACTGTTACATATAAGTCATTATAATTTTATATAAAAATACATCAGTAATCGTTATCATTATTATCTTCCTCGTCCTAACTTTTTCCTCCTGCATGATGATTTCCTTCATATTTTAAACATAACTTTATTAAATCTTCATGAAGAGTTTATAAAGTCTTCATGAAAAGTTTATTTAGTCTTCATGAAGAGTTTTTTAAGTCTTCATGAAGAGTTTTTTAAGTCTTCATGAAGAGTTTTTTAAGTCTTCCTGAAGAGTTTTTCAAGTCTTCATGAAGAGTTTATTAAGTCTTCATGAAGAGTTTATTAAGTCTTCATGAAGAGTTTTTTAAGTCTTCATGAAGAGTTTTTCAAGTCTTCATGAAGAGTTTATTAAGTCTTCATGAAAAGTTTATTAAGTCTTCATGAAGAGTTTATTAAGTCTCCATGAAGAGCTTATTAAGTTTGTTAAGTCTTATTAATTTATAAGTGCTTTGAAGCAAATATTGCAATTATTGAACTCAATAATTGCTTTACGAGACTTAATGATTAAGTCTCATGAAGCAGTTATTGAATTCAAAAATTGCAACATTTGCTTTGAGGCACTTATTCACTTGTACGACAGCTGTTCAAAATAAGTTAAACAACATGTACATAAATAAACATTTATGAATACGTACGTAAATAAACATTTATGTGCATATTTAAATATTATTAAAGTATAAGAGCCAATTTATTAATTTTAATCCGATTGTAAATTCTAAGCGAACAAAATTCTCAAATAAAAACGATCAAAACCTTTTTCCAATGAGCAAACCAGGTTTCGCGTTTTTAATAAACACCTGACCCGACCCGACGGGCATTTGTTTTTAAAAGTTACGTTCTAAATGTGTTTTAAATGTTTTCTAAACGTCTTTTAAACATTAATGTTTAAAAGACGTTTAAAAGACATTTAAAATACATTTAGATCGTAACTTTTAAAAACAAATGCCCGTCGGGGAATATAATAAACGCTTGAATATCGAATTCGTTTTTAACAGTGATAAGTTACATCAAATTTTTGCTATATTATACTAAAAATAATTATTTAATATAATATACATAATAATTATCTATCTATCGCAAGTTATTAAAAAAAATTGAGTATAAACGGTTTAAATAAATTTAAATAATTCGGGTCTTGATTTTACAAAAAACGCGAAACCTGGATTTGGTTATTGGAAAAAAGTATCGACCAATAAAAAAATTGCGCTAAAATTAAAATAAAACAGCATTTCAAAATGTCCGAAAACTAAAACCTGAAACACGCTATACGCTTTTTAAAATCAGTTGTATTTTGACGTTGACCCGACGTTGGTTCGACGTAAGCGCGTAGTTTAAAAAAATTGCTCAACGCTTCCGACGTTGTTCCGACGTTTGCCAACGTTACGCATGCTAACTGGGTATTCTATTTTCTGCTTTTTTAACAAAAGCTTTAAATTTTCGTTCTGTTCTACTGTGCAAGCCATCTTTGATTTATTTTAACAATGCAGCAATTTATATTAAAAAAACAAAACAACAACAACTGTAAAACGAAAATATCAACCTACTTAGGAATTATGTTAACGCCTGCAATCCGGTTTATATATGTTTTCACTTTACCTGATGTTAAGAATACAATAAATATTTTACGTAAGGTTGAATAAAGATTAAATGGTCTTTAAAACTAATCTTATAAATATATGTTATAATCATTTATGCGTAATTGGTTATCATACCTGTAGTTTTAACACATTTTAGTTTAAACTTATACCGAACAAATGTTGTGTTTCATTTTAATTTTTTACTGCAAACTTCATATTTCGATGGGACAAAATCATTTTTTATTCAACTTGATGGAATTTCATTCACACAAACGACATTGTGTTTTGACTACACAAACCAAAACAAATTGGTCCACAGTACAGTTTCATAATTTTAATAAGACTTGATTGTGCATTTTACATAAATATAAAAACATCTTTAAATGATGTAAATATTCATCTCTAATCCACCATTTTTATTTAAAATATGCAGTGTAAAGTATTGTACACAATGTAAAAAGACTTTTAAATAACTTGTGTATAATGCAAATCTTATAAATTTTTGCAAAGTTATACATAATTTCATATCAAAAAAATCTGTTACTATTTTCACTTTTATTAATACATTTATTGAAAGTTTTTAAAAAATTTTCCTACGCACAAATCTATGCAAAGTATTAAATTTCATTTTAATTCTAAATTATTAGTACATTTGCCTCGGCAAACTCTCATATCTAAATTTCATCGTAATTTCAGCTTTATTTTAACGTTTATTTTTAACGTTAATTCAACGTTTATTTTTAGTTGAAAATAAACGTTCAATCAATGTTGAATTTTTCAACGTTTTTTTTCTAGCGTTGAACTAACTTTGAAACAACGTTAAAACTTAAATTATTTTTTCAACGTTGTTTCAATTTTTCGTTATTTTTCGACCATACATCAAACATTTCGCAACATTGAAATAACATTATGTGTTTGCTGAGTATTATGAAATAATAACTATTAAAAAAAGGATTTTTTTAAAAACATACTTTTTCTTCAATTGGACTAAATAGAAGCAAATAAGTTTTTTCATTTTGATTTGAATCATTTGAGCTTAATTTTATAAAACTGTTCCTCGGAAATTCTAAAAAGTTTACATTTTCTAAATTTATTGAAACGCAAAAGCACTGAAAAGGTAGCGCTTTTTTTCTTTAAACTATTTTACCTCAGCTAACGTGAACGACCCACCTTTTTAGTGTTCTTGCTTTTTAATAAACTGAGATGTAAAAAAGTTAGAGTTCCAAGTAATAGTTTTATAAAATTAAGCTCAAATAGTTTTATAAAATTAGGCGCAAATTTTTTTAGTCTTTTTCAGTCCAACTCAAGGTAAGGTGTATTTTTTCGAAAAAGATTTTTGTTAGTATTTATTGTTTTGTTATTGCTGTATAAACCTAATGAAACTAATAGATTTTATATACTGGAATCTAAATCTTTAAACGTAAGAAAGTTTTAAAAAAGTCAATTAAAAATTTTTTCAATAAAAATTTAATATTAATTTTTATCAATGAACAGTAACAGTAAATCTTTTTTTATTCATTATTAATTTAGAATGAATCTAATGAACTGGGATCATCATTCGTATAAAGTCTCTTTTTTCCTCTACAGTCCTTCTTTTTTGGGGGCAACCTACTAACCTATTTTTATTTTTATACTTATTTGTAACTAAATATACAATTCTTAATTGAAAATTCTGCATGTGATCTGTTTACAAAAGTAAAATGTAAAAGTATATTATGATTTATAATATTTAAAGTAATACAAAAATCAAAATTGCAAAACCAAATTTGTTGGCAAAAAGTTTGTTTTTATATTTTAATTATTTTGGTTTGAGATTATTATTTAACAATCTCAGATTAAAATAATTAAATAAAAATAATAAAAATTAGGCAACAAACGAAATAGATAAAATATCATTTTAATATAATGAAATATAGGAACTTTTGAAGCAGATTTAAATACTTAAAAATATTCAAATAAGTAATTAATCAAATAATAATCTAATTATTCTATTGGCAATGACAAGGTTCACCCTGGAATTTTTTTCCGAACGCACGACGTCACTAGCATATCCAATTTTACTAATCTTAGAAAAATCTTTAGCTTCCAGCAAAGTAATAAGTTATTCCTAAAAAGAAAATGTCATTCCTATCTTTAAAAAAGGTAACAAACTTATGAGAGAAAACATTAGACTTGATTGACTTAAGCCACCTACCTATAAACTATTTGTTTTAATAATACGCAAAATAATTTGGACCAATTAATAATAAATAATCTGATTAATGAGCAACAAAATGGACTCTTAGTATACAAAATCTTATGCCTCAGTTCCTCCATTGATTTTTCTGGATATGGAGTAACGTATACTTCTACAAAATTTCGGTATAGTTCTTGTATATTTTAACACAATACTTTTGTTATATATAACAAACAGGATTGTTTAAAAAAAAAAATTAACATTTTACAAATAAAATTACAAGACGAACAGCAAAATTGAAAATCAATTGTTTTACTAAAACAGTAAAAAGCGTTTATGTTTAATTAAAAGAAAAAAAAAAAGTTAACAAATGAAAAATAGTTCATTAACAAATAAACTTTCTACAATACAGTAAAATTTAAAAAAATTTATATTTTAAAAAAGTGCAAAAAACTCAAGCAACACTATTAACACAAACCAGTCCTTAACCTAAATTGTGTTATGTCAAGTTTTTGAAGGAACCATCTTCCCTTGGCGAAGCTAGAACTCATTCTGCAATTATCCATAATGGAAAGTTTTTTTTATAGTAAATGATCTTATATATATATATATATATATATATATATATATATATATATATATATATATATATATATATATATATATATATATATATATATATATATATATATATATATATATATATATATATATATATATATATATATACTTATGAACTATTTAGATTTAATTCACTAGAGCAAACAAACTCATTTGAATTAACTGCTAAATGAAAAGATTCATTATGATTTATTGATCTAGACATGGTGTTCTTCGAGATCGAACGTCTAAAACTTTTTTTACTACTGCTTTCTGAATTAGACCATATCATTTTTATTTTATTAAAAAATAAAAAACTCATCAAAAAAAACATTGAAATATTCATAAGTATGCAACTTGTAAACCTTTTCGTATTTAAATCAAAACTGCTGTAATGAAGACCAACAAATGCGCACGTAGTTATGTTAGAAAAAAACAAAGAATATGCTGTTTTGCTTGTATAGTTATACTCAGGTGGTAGATCTTTTGTTTTAAATGTTTGATAACCACACAATATAGAATAAACGAGCACGTAACATAAGTGAAATAATAAAAAACTATGCGCGTTGCAGTACTTTTGCACAGTAAACGAGGATGTTCCTTTTTCGTCCTCAAGAAATATTCTATATTTGCTATTGTCAATAGCATAAATAAACACAATATAAAAAGATGAGAGTATTAGGAGCAGCAGGACAGTTTTAAATGCAATATAAAGTTTGTCTTTAAGTGTCAATTTATGATCAAGATCAAAAATGTGAACAAGTCGGGTAACTTTAACAAACATAATAGTAATTATAACGACATGGAAGAAGCTGCCCAGATAAATTCTCAGAGCGCACTTAATATACGTCTCTTCTGGGAATGTCAAAAGAGGTAAAACAAAAATAATGGAATGCAAGAATAGTTGAATCAACGACAATATGTAGTCAGAAGAACGAACAACGGGTGTTGACTCCTTTATCATAAAAGTAAAAATGAAACTTAAACTTAACAATGCACCTATGCTACATAATGTTAAAATTAAGGCTTGATGCGGTACTTGTGAGCTGCGCTTAAAATTCCAGTATAAGCGTTCGCGTTTTATGCACTCACTTTTATTTTTATTTGGGTAAAAATCAAATAACTCATTACAAATTGTACAATTTTCATCATTTGGCGATTTTGTTATTGAGTTTTCTGGGCACGAAATGCACGTCCAACAGCATTTATTTAGTGGACTGACCAGTTTCATTTTACCTGAACTACAAGGTGTCGAACATGTGGATTTTATAGAATGTAGTTCTACGCTTTCATCAAAATGCGTTAATTTCAAGTTATTTGACCAAAATGCAATTTTTGAAAACGCAGATTTACTCAAGGTATAAAGTTCAAAATAAGCTGATTTAGGGTTTTGATTTAAATCAAAACTAAATGTTTTAGAATTATTCAATATAGGGAAACTAACATTTTTAATTTGTTCGTTAAACAAAGTTCTATTGTAAATTTCTTTAATCTTGTTTGGATAATGCAATTTCTGATATAAATAAAATGCTTCAATTAAAACCTTAACTGAGTCCTGAACAAATGAAACCAGACTAAGGTCAAAAACTTGCGATATGTCGTTTGTTGTATTTGAACTCTCAGTAACTCCAAGTTTTTCAAAAACTGCTTTTAACCATGGACTTGCATTTTGATAAGTCAAACCAAAAAAGTAGTTTTTAAATAAATCGTCTTCCCCCTCAGTCTGAACAATAAACAGGAAAATATTGTGAAATATGTTGCTATACTTAAAAAACCAATTGTTTTTACCAGTAGCTTCACTTAAAAGATAAATTCGATTTGATAAATTTTTACTATCTGATTCGATTATTAAATTTTGTACGAGATTAAATGTTCCAATAACGACAATGACTTTGGCTGAACTTTCTTTAACTAACTTTTCTACTACATTTGAATATTTACTTTGATCATAAACTTGCGGTAGTAATGCCGTAAAAGCTAAGCAAACTTTTTCTTCGGACGTATCATTTTCAATCACTTTAATAAGTTGTTCAATTCCTGCTCTGCCGTACGAGGTATCAATCGCTATCACGGCAACAAATGTCCAATGATAGTTTTTCAAAATGTCTCTGATAAATAATACTTGGTAGTTATCAGGGGGAACCGTTCGAAAAAAATTTGGATATAAAATTCTGTTATCTAAATCCACGCTTGTTGCGGAATAACTAATGATCGGAAAGTTGGTATAAGGTAGTGTTAGTGCAAGTGCGTATAAACAATTTGCTGATTCTGATGGACCAATAAACCCTAATAAATTGTTTTGTTGTACGTAGTTGTTGCATGCACAGCTTTCTATTTTATTGCTAGAGCTAAAGCTTAATGTGTCTAAAATAGCAAACGAGGTCTTGTCAAAGTTTGTGGAATCATAAGTATCGTAAATGACATAATCAAATAACCTCTTGTTTTGCTTTTTATTCTCTTCTTCAACAGTATATTTCAAAGCTTCAATCCATGCAACAGTTCTCATATCTATATTCTCTGTTGAAGAACATCTTAAAGGAAATAAAGCTGGTATTGTAAATTCGCCTTTAAAATCGCTTTTAATCTTTGATTTCATGCATACTTCACTTAAAGTTTTACCAATACATAAACAAACAAAAACAAACTTCAATGTGAAGTATAAAGACATTTAAAAAAAAATTATACAATGTTGTATAAGATTTCTTAAAACTAGCAAATATATAGAGCGTTATCTCCAGATTTTTATTAAAAGGTTATTCTAAATGACTACAAGTCTTAACTAATATAAAAAGGTAATGTGCGATTAATCATTGCCAGTCGAACGTTTTTTTATATCAAAACTTATTATGATGGCTTTATATTTCTTTTAGACTTAAATTCTATAAGACATGAAATAGTTTTATATAATGCGATGTTAGACTTTTAAAGCATATAGTTTATAATTATATATTCTTAATCTTCAAAAATATGTGTACAATAAAGTTTTAGGGGAGACATATTTAAAAATATTGTTATATCGTTACTTATACAATAATAATAAGATTATATTAGATTATAATATATACATTTTATACTTAATAAAATCAATAAATAAGGTTATCATAACCCATTTTATATAAACTCACTAATACCGATATAGGTGTTAAAAATAACTTCTGTCATTAAATGAAACGCTGCATGAAACTTTTTATGAACTTACAAAAAAAGTTCGGGTACTTTAATAAATATATTTTTTGTTATATTAGTATATATACATACAATCAATATTTCAGAACAAATACAGATCGCCGGGGCAAGAAGAAGACACAATTTGTTTTATCACCAAGCCTACCATTTGATGATTATTTATGTACAAAATCTTTTTATAATAATAACTAACTTATAAGGGCAAACCCATTGCAAATTAAACCATTATATTTCGTAAAGTCAAGGTATAGATTTTGTAAACTGAACTAAAAGTTTTTTGTAAGTTTTACGTAAGAATTTCTGTTTGATATTTAAGAATGTGCCCGAATACCGGACGAAGTTTGTGACTTTTAGGTCTTTCTGATTCTAACCGGAAAAATAATTTTTCAGGGCGGAATGCTGGAATTTAATTTTTACCTTTCTTTTGAGACGTGTGTGACACAGACTGTGTAAATAAAATTAAAAAACCTTTGTAATGCGAAGCAATTTAGAACTGTAGGTAAACCTAGTTAAATAAAACAAATTTCGCATCAAACGCTATGTAATTTTATATGCAGTATTATAGACGTTTAGGATTATTGTGCTAAAAGAGTTACTAGTTTTTACAGTTTTGGGCAACCAACTAGCTCTATTTTCATCAAAAATGTTTAATGTTGTTTTGCAAATAGTCTCATTTTAAATGTTACTTAGTTTTAAATAATTTAAAGAACAAGATGACTGATGCAGTAAACACTTTTTAAATAAATTTTAAACTAAATGGAGGAAAGGAAAACAAAGAAATAATTTTAATTATGAATAAAGTGCAGATTTAAACTTTACGATAAATAAAATTATAACAAACATATAAAAGGAACATATTAGATTTAAATGAAACAAGAATCAAATTATTGAAATAGGTTGAATATATATAAAAAGTTTTAAATATATATCATATAGCCACATCGCTGACGCGCAAGCTTTCACTTAAAAGGTAGAAAAAAAAGAAGGCAAAAAATAAATATATATATAGTTCCTGTTCCAGCAGGAATTCCGGCCAGAATTCAAAATTTCCAAATCGTTATACACCTAAATATGTTTTAGTTAGTACTTAAAATTAATTATACTCATAAATAATTTAACAAGAATATAGTAAAATATGTATATTTATAAAAAATGTTTATTATATGTATTTCATTTAGACAAAAAATTCGATTATTTGTTTGATTAAATACATAAATAATAAATACTAGCTGTCCGGACCCGTAAAACACGTGTAAATGAATTTCACATAGGTCTTTTTTTTTTTTTTACATATTCCTTACTTCAAAATTTTTAGTAAGTGGTAAAAGCGATATACATATTGAAAAGCTATATTTTTTGTTTTATTTTAAAAGCTATGAAAAATTTTTTTAAATCTTAACTAACATTAAAAAACTTTAAAGCTGTCGGTAGCTGTTGCGTAAATTGCTCTTTATCAACGGATTAGATATTGGAACTAGTTTATATACAATGTTTAGAAGACCCGCTGGAAATGTATTTTTTTTATTACGATCGGTATGAAAAGTTTCAAAAAGCATGAGGAAGTAGACTTAAATTTGTGAAATAACTGATTTATGATGACCCGTATAATACTGGTTATGGTAAGTTTATTTCACACCAACTTTCTTCATAATTTCGCTTTATTTCAATAATTTTTAGAAAAGAGAAAAATATAAAAATCTTTGTTTTGAATTAACGATTAATGTTCATTAATAATAAGTTTATTATTGTAAACTTCTGTAAAAAACGAAAGAAAAACAGGGAAGGGACCTTATTGCTTTATCAATAAATTTTTCTTTTATTTCTTTTTTAGAATACCCGCAACTTATTATGACTCATTATGATGATTATTACTGATGTCATTTTTGAAGAAAATTAAAGTTTGCATATAAAATCGTTTTCTGTAACAAAGAAAGCAGTGTGTAAAAGTGCAGAAGTTTAATAAACAAAAAACAATATGAATCGACATTTAAATGCTATAAATCAAAATTAAGGAGATACTGTCGCAATAAAATTTTCAAGTAAAAGTAAATCTGTAAAATTTGACTTTTTTTTTCAATGATTTACGTAACTTGAAGTTTGCATATTACAGATTTGCATTGACTTTCGTTCACATAGATAAAATACAAGTCATTAAGGACTCTGGTTTCTAAAAAACTCCTAACAGCTTAGTTGTATAAAAGATATTTTTTAATTACACATTTGTGTAATTAAAGTAAGGTAACAATTTTCAATATATGTCTATATTAAACAAACAAGTCATCTGATTAATCTAAAAATAGTAGGGTTGTTCACTATTGCAAAAGTTGAGTTTTCAATTAAAAAAAACCTTTTAAAATTCTATTTTTATTTTGTAGGTTTGAAACAATTTCTAATTAACTAGTTGTATAACGAAATATATTTCGCTTTACAAAGTTCACAATATTCTTTCAATGCATTTTTTATTTCTTGAAATCCTAAAATTAGATCCGAAATCATTTTTCCCTTTGAAACTTTGAAAGTTGTATCGAAATATATTAATATTATCAAAAATTTACCGAAACATTTTTTCACTTTCAAAACTCTATAACGTAAATCGAAATATTTTTATATTATTGAATTTCTACAAATGGAACCAAAACAATTTAACACCTACAATTTGCATCGAAAAATTTTTATGCGATGGAAAATTTAAAAATGGCTCCAAAGCAATATTTTCTTTTCGAATCTCTATTCTACGTTTTTTCAAAACGCCTTAATATGCTTATTACGTATTTCGAGAAAAACGCAATTAAAAAAAAATTATTTGGAGAAACTCTTTGTAAAACGCTTTTTAAAACTAATAATCTTTATGAATTTTTTTAGAACTCTTTGAAAATATGTATTCAATAACGTTTGTAGACATCTAAACTAGCTTATTTTGTAAAAAAGTCAAAAATGTTTTTTTTTTTACCTTTATGCTAAACGGCTGCAGTATAATTTGCACCGACATTATGATATTTCCGAAATCATTAAAACAGTATCGAAATAATTTTTTACTATTGAAATTCTTAAAATCACTTTAAAATATATATAGTATTTCATTAGTTCTAAAAACTGCATTTAAATGAATATTTATAACAACAAAAAATTAAAACTCGGGCAAGTTCGCAAAACTAATATATAACGTTATTCTAAGAGCCTGTTCATATGTATGAAAAACATTTTGCCTGGGAAAGAAAAACAACAATAGTTTAGTGTAATGTTATTTTTCTGAGGTATTTGACTTAGTTACGATAAACTTAGGAGCAATTTTTAAATTTAGAAAAGTTAATAGAACACAACGAGGTAAAAAGATTTCTCACTTTGCATGTGCCGGATGCATGTTAAAAGTGAAATTATATAATAAATATGTAAATATTGGGTCAACTGTGAATTGTATAATAAATATGTAGTTATTTTCTTATTGTTGTACTAAGAGTAGACAATTTTTGGCTGACTATTATCTGTAAAGTGATTTTTTCGCTTATGCACTTTTACTATCTACCGAAACAAATATATTGCTGTAGCCTTTCTTTGATTTTCGACACAGACACATTAAAATATTGTATAGTTTTTGGTATTTTATTTATAGCTCAATTGTTATTAAAAGTTTAATTTGAATTAATTGAAATTTTTACAAAAGCAATATGATAAAAAATAAGATATTTATAAAGTATGAAATTAACTTAACCTTGTTTTTTTTAATGTGGCGTTTGGCAACACGGACATTAAACTCAAAAATCAAACTCTATTTTATTTAATTTTTTTAAATTTTAAGTAATGCTTAAGTTTTGCTACTACCTTCTTGATGGCAACATGTGCAATTTAAAATTGAACGCGCTAATTCGCAAATGTTTTTTGAAAATATTGAATGTCATTGTAACTTTTTTTTCTTTTTTGTTTTATAAATCGGGATAGAAATTTTTTTCTTGATACTTTTTTATTGATTTTTTTTGGTGCTATTATAGTATTCTTTGATTAAAAATGCTTAAAAAATTTTTTCTGTCATATTTTTTAACTAACTTTTTTTGGCAAGCGTTATGACATAGTGATATAACTATTGCTTGAAAGTTAGCATAAACTCTCATTATGCTAACTTTCATAACGTGTTTTTTTTGGTGGCTAAAAAGAGTCAAGACAGTACGCAACCAAAGATAAATAAAAATAAAAATATTATTTTTGATGTTTATTTTTAATATATATATATATATATATATATATATATATATATATATATATATATATATATATATATATATATATATATATATATATATATATATATATATATATATATATATATATATATATATATATATATATATATATATATTAGGGTGTCCCAAAATGACATGAATTTTTTTAGTTTTTAACTATTTCTAGATTTTCAAACAGTTTCATATGTATTTTTATTTACTAAAAGCAAAAAAAAAAAAAAAATCAAAAAATTTTCATATTTGACCC